CAATTTTCCTTCGCCTCCAAATTCATTCTTGCTGAGGAGCGGAGATTCGAATTCAATCAACTTCTTATTTGTAGGTGGATTGTGTATCAAACATCTTGATGTAATGGTTGGAGCTCAACTTCAACCAAAACCAACCAATTCCAACCAATAACCAGCAGCTATAAACTCAATATGCAGGATATAAATTGTAACAACTCACATTGAAGACATAATCTGAAATATTTCATAGATTGATACCTTCTATTACAATGTAGGGGATTACAATTAAAATGACAAATATAAAAGAGAAAGAGGTAGACCAACAGAGGAAGAAGAAAGAGAAGTAGAAGAGGAGAAGAAGAACAAATAAGAAGAAGAAAGGAAGGAGAGGAGAAACTGATTACCAGAGAAGAAGACCGGTGAAGAAGACTGGAGAAGAAGAACGCAGCAGGGAAGAGCTGCAGGAAGAAGAAGGAGAAGACAGGAGATGGGAGAGGGGTTTGGCAACAAGCCGATTCATCAATTCACGATCCTTTCCAAAGAGGAAATTAGACTATATACCCTAAATATAGGGTCATTTTGAAAAATCATGTAAAAAGTAATTAAAAAGTATAAAATACTGCATTTTTACGTTAATTTTAGCCAATCAACGAACTAAATCCTAATTATTTCCCACTTTCCTCTGTCTCTCTCTCTACTCCCCCTCTATCTTCATCCAATGTTCTAGTGAGGAGTTAACAGAATCCCCAGCAATTTTATACCCATCTCTCGCAAAGCTATCTCTTTCATTACCTTCTGCTTTATCTCTGTCAACATCTCTTTTTTCTGATAGTCGGATTCCTGAATGCAAGTCACCAGCATTTTCGTTTTTTGGAGAAGCATCTTCTTTATTGCTCCCTACTTGGGTCTCCAACAATGGGTCTTCTAACATCTGGTCATCTCTTGCCTTTTTTGAGCTCACGAGAACTAGGAGAGTCAAAGGTGATCTTTTGATAGCCAACAAATATTGAGGTCCTTTCCTTGGGTCTCCAAACATGTGGTGTTTTTTCGAAGCTTTTATCCGAGAGATCTTCATGTGGTGGCCAAAAATTAATTTTCGCCACTGAAATTGATGTGGTTCCTGTTTTAATTTGTAGGCATGTTTTATTTTTTTTTAAAAATGTCATTTACTTTGTAAAAATAAGCTTGCTTATTCTCTAGGCTTATCCTGACATGCTCTTAGTGACAATATTAAAAACCTTGATGTATTTTCTACTTATGATTTTCATTGTTATGAATTTTTCTATGGATAAAGGTTTGAACCTCATCACTTTGGATTGCCCTTTTATTGAGAAGCACTATGTTGATTTATCTGCAAACCCCTTCTTCAATAAGCTTGTCTACTACATTATCTCAGACTTTTTCGTTCAAATGGCATGGAAGGGTAATAATGTGATGATTACTATTAAGAAGATTATTGGAGATGCCTGCTCTGCTGAGTCTGCTCTTGTGATTATGCCATCAACATTGGCAGGTTAGATAGAATCATTCTTAATTGTGTCAATAAGACTAAGAATACTATTTTGTTTAAACAGACATGTCTTTAAGGTAGATGCATATTGCCTGAACATCCATAACCTTTTGCAGTAACGTAATTCAAGGAAGGGATTCGGTTGAGAGTGCAATGAAGGAGATTGCTCTTTGGTTCCCATAAGGAATTGCAAAATGGAAAGCAGCATTCACCCTTGGATCAACGAGTGATGCTTCGTTATATTAAACAAGAATTACCATGTATGGCTCAATCGTTATTGTTGTTTATTTGTAACTGTAAATTCCAAGTGTTGACGTCAAATTTAATTTTATAAACCTTGTTGTTCCAGAGATGATGATTGTGATAGTCGACTGAGAGTTGTCTTTGTAGATGCTTAATTACTATATCTGCAATTTCTGCTTGCAACCATTTAACACCGTTTTTAGTGTTTGTCACATTTTTTTTAAATTTTTGTTACTTTTTTGAATTTGTCTCATAAACTTGGAAAAGTTTTACTATTTCTAAATTTTTACTAAAAGTCTTAATAGAGTAAAGTGGATACTAATTATTCAAAAAGAAAATCGTCATCATGCTATTTCTCATTTTTTTTAAAATTTTGTCACTTTTTTTTAGGTTTTTGTCACCTTTTAAGTTTTTGTCACTTTTTAAGAAGATAAAAAAAGTGAAATAATATGTTATATTTTCCTAACATAATCAGCATGTGGATTGGCCTGGACATGCTGATTATTTGAAGAACATGATTACTGGTGCTGCACAAATAGATGTTACTATTTTGGTTGTCACTTTTTTTTGAGTTTGTATCACTTTTTGAGAGAGTCACTTTTTTTTAGCTTTGTCACTTTTTTTTGAGTTTGTGTTACTTTTTAAAAAAGTGACAATTTTTAAAAAAAAAGTGACATTGTGTCACTTTTTCATTTTACACAGTATTTTTTACTTCCTAAAAACCTTTCATATGATTTTTCAAAACACCTCTAATTTTAAGGGTATTTTTGTAAGTATCCCAAAAAAATACGTCACCTACCTTCTTCATGTTGCACGACTATATATAATTGGATATGAACTGTGAACATATGAATTACATGAAGATTGGCTTTTAATTGGGCTTTATGTGGCTTTATAATCAAAGTGAAAATTGCAAAGATTATAATTCAAAAAATAGATTTAAGGTTTAATTATTCAAAAATAATATTATAATTCCACATTTTAATATTAATATAAAATATTATAATTTAATTTATATATCCATTCATATCCTATCTACCCATCCAAACCCCGATCATCTCTTATAAAATATTATAATTTAATTTATATATCCATTCATATTCTATCTACCCATCCAAACCCCTATCATCTCTACACTCTCCCATCTCTCTAAATTTCTATTCTTTCTTGTTTCTTTTCACATCCTACCATCGATGGCGCAACGCTCCCACCACTGTTAGCACGACACCACTTAGAGAGCAGCGCACGACGCTCACAATGGCATCACTCGATGCTATTGCAACGGAGCGAAATCCACGATGAAGCATGAGTGACACTATTGTAGCAGAGCGAAATCCATGAATGAGCATTTGTGACCATGGTCAAAGTGGAAGAAAATGGCTAAAACGTAGGTAAGAGTGAAGAAAGAAAGCGGAGTGCGGCAAAGATCCACGGAGAATTATTATTTGACTGTTTTCTATGTAGTCTTAGGATGGTACCATCGCCATATTTTGGATCTGGTCTAGTCTTTGCTCAAGCAACGGCGATGATGTCATAGCAGTATTTTGGATATGGCTTTTGTGTGATTCTAGATCTTTTTTGTGGTGGCTGTGTAGTGATTTTGATAGGTTTTGTTGTGGTGTTTGATGTTGGTAGTGGTGGTGGTGGTGGAATGGTGGTTCTAATGATGTGGTAGTGGTCGTTGTTGCAAATGGTGGTGGTGGTGGCAATTGTGGTTTGTTAGTAGTTGTGGTGGTGGTGGTGGTGGTGGTGGCGCTATCTATAATTGTGAGGTGGTGATGCTTTTCAATTGGTGCCATGGTGAATTGAAGTTGGGTTGGGGTAGGTGGTGGGATTAAAAGTGTTTGTGGCCAATAAATATTTTGTGATCGATAACTTATGACTAATAAGTAATATGCGACTTAAAAGTTTGAGTTGTGATTTATAAAATTTTTGATTTGTGACTGATAAATAAATTGTAACATATAAATTTTTTTATTTGTGACATTGAATAAATTGTGACCAATAAAGTTTTTTATATGTGATCGTGAAATAATTTGTAACCTATAAAATTTTTTATTCGTGATCGAGAAATAATTTGTGACCAAATAATATATAATTGTGATCTTAATATATTTAATTAATAATATATATAATTAATTAATTATTTTGTAAATAAAATTTAATTAATACTTGATTTGTGTAAATAAAATTTAATTAATATCTAATTAATTAAACATTGTTTCTTAGTTTTGAAACGAGTCATATTAATCTCTTATATATGAAATTTTATCGTAAGGAAATGCAAAAAATGGGCTATTGTCACTGATATTATTTTGGGAACAATACATAAATCATGTTTTTAGTAAACACTATTTCAAAATTAAGGATATAGGTTTTAACTTTCAAAAATCAGGTTTCATTAAAATTTATTTATGATTTAATTAATTAATTATATATTTAATTAATAAATATATAAAGGTCACATATATATGAAATTTGGTCACAATTCAAAAATTTTATAGGTCACAGATAGTTCATCGGTTACAAATTAAAAANCAATTCAAAAAATTTAAAGGTCATAGTTAGTTTATCGATCACAAATTAAAAATTTAGAAGTCACACTTTATTCATCGGTCACAAATCACGAAATTTATAAGTCATACAACTTATTTTATGGTCACAAAATATCAAATTATAGGTCACAGATTACTTTTATTGATATGTCACACAATATTTATTGGTCACAATTTATTTTTTATTGGTCACACACCATCTAGACCGTCACGCTTCGCCGCCGTACGACTTCATTTAGTAAATCCCACCTCAAGTCATGAAAGAACTCGTGTTCCTTAATCTCGCAGGCGCCTCTCCGATACCTGAGGCGGCGCGTGGGTCCTTTTTCCAATAACTTTCGAATCAAGTCTGTTAATGGATTTGGCTTGCCGAAGAATTATGACCGGCTTAATAGTATTTTCTGAAATGTTTCTATTCTGTTCTTACCCTTAAATGGAGTCGTTCCATATAGCATTTCATAGCAAAGCACACCAAGAGCCCACCTATCGATGGCGAATTCATGGACGTCGCCACGTATAATCTCCGGTGCGATGTACTCCTCTGTACCTACAAAGGAATTTGACCGCTCATTCGTCAAAAAATCATCTGGGTTTCTCTGGCTAACTGGCGACACGTGGGCACTTTTCATCTTCTTCAACCCTATCTTCTTGTTGAATGCACGTTTTCCTCTTTTCGAAATAATGAAGCTAGATCTGAAAATGTGTGAATAATGAAATCCAGTGGTGGTGGTGGTAGTGCCGGTGGGGTGGTGCCGGTGGGAGAGAGAGGGGGGGAGAGAAAATGGGTCGGCAGGAGAGAGAGATGTAAGAAAAAATGAAATAATTAGGGTTTTGTCACAAATCACGAAATTTATAAGTTATACAACTTATTTTATGGTCACAAAATATCAAATTATAGGTCACAGAGTACTTTTATTGATATGTCACACAATATTTATTTGTCACAATTTATTTTTTATTAGTCACACACCATCTAGACCGTCACGCTTCGCCGCCGTACGACTTCATTTAGTAAATCCCACCTCAAAGTCATGAAAGAACTCGTGTTCCTTAATCTCGCAGGCGCCTCTTCGATACCCGAGGCGGCGCGTGGGGTCCTTTTTCCAACAACTTTCGAATCAAGTCCGTTAATGGATTTGGCTTGCCGAAGAATTCTGACTGGCTTAATAGTATTTTCTGAAATGTTTCTATTCTGTTCTTACCCTTAAATGGAGTCGTTCCATATAGCATTTCATAGCAAAGCACACCAAGAGCCCACCTATCGATGGCGAATTCATGGACGTCGCCACGTATAATCTCCGGTGCGATGTACTCCTCTGTACCTACAAAGGAATTTGACCGCTCATTCGTCAAAAAATCATCTGGGTTTCTCTGGCTAACTGGCGACACGTGGGCACTTTTCATCTTCTTCAACCCTATCTTCTTGTTGAATGCACGTTTTCCTCTTTTCGAAATAATGAAGCTAGATCTGAAAATGTGTGAATAATGAAATCCAGTGGTGGTGGTGGTAGTGCCGGTGGGGTGGTGCCGGTGGGAGAGAGAGGGGGGGAGAGAAAATGGGTCGGCAGGAGAGAGAGATGTAAGAAAAAATGAAATAATTAGGGTTTGAAATTGTGTAGAATTGATTTAAATAAAAATTAATTTAAAAAACCTAATTTATGTATTATTAAAATTGATTTTGGATTTATGAAAATGGTATCTTAAAAAGTGGTAATTACATAAAACCAGAGATTTATTTTGACCTTTCTAAAAATCAGGTATACCTTTTAAAAAATCAGGTTTAAAGTTTATTTTTGCAAAAATCATGTACTATATTAAAATCCTAATTTATCAATCTCGTCCCCCACCTCATTTCTCCCAAACTCATTCTCTCTCTACCTTTCCCCTCTCTCCCTTCATTACCCACCGGCAACCGCGGCGATGAGTGGTGACCACCGGTCTAGAGTTGTCGCTGCAGCCACGACGAGGAAGTTGCGCGATCCCCCCCTTTTCTCTCTCTATATCTTACGCTTCTCTCGTTTCTCTCTATCGTTCAAGAAGATCTGTGTATTATATGGAAGCCACCCAGGTAACAGCCTGTGTGTTAATAACAATGCACAATGCTCTGATAATAATAATAATAAAGCCATTGTTTGTGTTGACTCGGAGAGGTATTGCAAAAGAGTTACTGATACTTTTGGTCAGAAAACTTCCATTTACAGAGGCGTCACAAGGTATCATTATATATATATTGAAGAAATATATTTTACAGATAATTATTTTTTTACTGATACAGACACAAATGGACAGGAAGATATGAAGCGCATCTATGGGATAACAGCTGTAGAAGAGAGGGCCAAGCAAGAAAAGGTCATGATGCTGCTATTGAGTTGGGCAATGAATTGGTGGGTTTCTATAAGTCAATCTTTGATTGAATTTTGATCTTGGTTTAACAACAGTTGACGATTTTATTGTTCTGTCTTTTGATGTCAAAACATTGACTTTTGTGTTTTGCTTATGGGATTCTCGTGTTTTGACTTAGTGTCAAATGGTTTTAACTTTTCTATGTTGTTGAATATTGTACATGTTCATAGAATCATGTATGTTTTGGGGCGGTGGTGGTGGATCTGTGGTGGCGGTCGTGTGGTTGTGATGGTGATCCGTGTGGTGATTGTCGTTTTTTGTTATTGTTGTAGCGGGGTCAACGGTGGTGGTTCTTTTTGGTGTCTGTGACCTAGCTATTGAACTGTGACTTTAAAATTGATAATTTGTAACTAAAAAAAGAATCCGTGACCAATAAATTTGAAAATACGTGACCTGTGACATATAATTTTTTGATCTGTGACCTACAAAATTTTTGATCTGTGACCGATAAAAAAAATTGTGACATACAAAATTTTTTATCTGTGATCTCGAAATAATCTGTGACCTACAAATTTTTGACCGATAATAAAATTGTGACCTACAAATTTTTTTATCTGTGATCTCGAAATAATTTGTGACCTACAAAATTTTTGATATGTGACCGAAGAACAGTCGCCGGAGTGGTCGCCAACCACCGGAGTAGTCGCCGGAGCAGTGAGGTAGGGTGGGGTGGGTTAATTATATTATATTACTGTTTAATATTTAATTTAATATAATAATTGTGAAATATAATTAATTAATTCATGGAAAAACTGATTTTTGCAATTTTAAAACTTGGGGCCTGATTTTTGATTTCATGATAAATAAGGCTGGGCGGGGTAGGGGCGGGACAAAGCGTGGGAGTGGCGGGGCGAGGTAGGAGTGTCCCGTCCCGTTGCCATCCCTACGTTCTAGTAATTCTTCAAAGTGATATGATACGCCCAAGCACTCAAGTGTTTCAATCAAATTCATCGTCTCTATCATATATTTTTCACTACCTTTCAGCATGCTTCTCACTCCATTCTTTAACCCTTCAATCTTCTTCGCGTATTTTTGTGCTAACTGTTCGATTTCATAATTGTAACATGTTATAAGCCAACCTTGGTATATTTCCAAAAAGTAACTTTTTGTTCATTTACTTCATCTGTAATTGATGTAACTTAAAACAACACATTTTTTTTTTGCAGATCTTGTTAAGAACTTTTTCAAACATTACATGCTTGAAAATGTTACTAAATCCAGGAAATTCTTAATACGCACACAAACCCACCACAAATATATAAAAGCCATTGGAAGAAATAAATGAATCAATACCTTATAATCAAAAATAAAATTGTTACTGTTCTCCCCATAAGCTGGGAGAGAAGTTTGCGACTAGACGGACAATCCCCTTTTCGCAGTTGGTAGCATTTTCAACATGAGCCGAGGCCATTTTGATTCTCTTCTAGTACATAGAAGAAGAAGAATAATAAGAAATATTGTATGGTGCAGTTAATTTTGAAATTTATGAACTGTAGCTGAAGTTGATGCTGGTGATCAAATACTAAAGATTTATCGCTATTTATACTAGAGATTGATAACGTATAAGATTCGAATAATTATAAACCAAATATGGAAACTGCAATTGTGAAGCAGCCAGGCAACGGTCGAGCTGATTTCACTCAGGAAAAAACAAAATCATGGGACACCTCATGCAAAGATACATGCCATGTATAGCAGCCAAGAGTTTAGCAAGAGTCATGCGACAGCTCATGCAGCTAATTTCATTCCTGTAATTTAATAATTGTTTCCTTATAAAGCAAATGTATTTATTTATTTCCCTTGTAATACACAAACAATTGTATACATTCAATATAAATACAATTCACCCTCCCATGAATCATGTGTGGTGAGACTTCTCAACATCGGCCATTTGTCTCATTTTCTTCTGAGATGAATGGGGTAAGGTGGCGACTATAATATTTTTAAGGTGGTCATTCTTGACTACCAAGTATAGACTAGCGTCTCAACATTATCTTTGTTTATCTTTGTCTAATATTTTTTAGGCTTAGTCAATAAAGGTTACTATATAAAATTTACATTATAATTATAATTTATAATATAAAGAGACATGAGCATGTGACCCATCCGTTTACTTCATTTGCTGGTGGAGTGTCATTAGGTGGAGTGTATGCCTATTTCTTATTTTGCACCTTGTTCATGCATTAATAAGAGTTAATTTTCTTTCTTTCTTTCTTTCTTTTTTTTAAATTTTTATTATTAATATAATCATCCTCAGAATGAATTCAATACCATTAAAGGACGTAACAGCGAAAGTCATTTAAATTCAATATCAAAAGTCTTTCTTCAAAAAATAAACAACTATACCATTTTGAATAGTGTTTGAAAGTAAATATGATTTATTTTAAAGATTAGTTTAATCAGCGATGCATCAACTATTCCTCGTATAAATTGGCAAAATCCTACGTCACCCACCAATTGCTGCCAAAATCAAGATCCACAAGTAAGAAACATGGTTCATATTGGTGTAGTGGTAAAGCACTTATTCCAAATGTAGCACAGAGACATGGTGCGAGATTATTCAATGCGGCTTCAATTCATTTTCTCAATCCACAATTTCACAGGTTCATTTTCCTTTACATTATTATAAATTTTATATAGTAACCTTTACTGACTAAGACTTTAAAGATATTAGAGAGAGAAAAAATGAGAATAATTAAGATGCCAATCAATACTGTACTTATGGAGTCAAGAATGACAACCTAGCATTCAATAAAAAATGTTTGGTAGCCCACTTACCCCATTCATTTCTACTATATAAATAGCGGCAACTCTTTAGTATTTGATCACCAGCATCAATTTCAGAGTTAACTCTTAAGCATTTGATCACCAGCATAAATTTCAGCTGCAGTTTATTTTCAACATAAACTGCACCATACAATACATCTTATTCTTCTTCTTTTTCTCCATACCAGAAGATAACTAGAATGGCCTCGGCTCTTGTTGAAAATGCTACCAACTGCGAAAAAAAGATTGTTCGACCAGTCGCAAATTTCTCTCCCAGCTTATGGGGCGAACAATTCATTAATTTCGCTTTTGATTCCGAGGTATTGATCCCTTTATTTTATATATTTGTGTGTTTGTGAAATCATACAGTTAGCAGAAGTATTGTTAGCAGAATTTCTCTTCAAGGTTGGCTTATAACATGTTCCGCTTGTGAAATCATACAGTTAGCAGAAAAATATGCGAAGGAGATTGAAGGGTTAAAGGATGAAGTGAGAAGCATGCTGAAAGCTCCCGGAAAAGACATGATAGAGACGATGAATTTGATCGAAACACTTGAGCGCTTGGGCGTATCTTATCACCTTGAAGATGACATTGAAGAACTACTAGAACGTTTTTTTAATCTCAACTCAAATTATGCAGATGAAGCCTATGACTTGTACACTGTTGCACTTCATTTTCGTTTATACAGACAACATGGCTATCGTCTATCTTGCCGTGTGTTTGACAAATTCGTAGACGAGAATGGAAAATTCAAAGAGACTATTAAGAGTGATGCAAGGGGCTTGCTGAGCCTATACGAGGCTGCATATTTAAGAGTTCATGGAGAAGATATACTGGAAGATGCTCTTGCTTTCTCAACAGATAACCTCAAATCCATGACACCAAATTTAACCTCACCCCTTGGGAAACAAATAGCTCATGCCCTTGTGCAATGCATCCATTTTGGCAATCCGAGAATTGAGGCTCATAATTTTATTTCCATCTACCAAGAAGATGAATCCAAGAATGAAGTGCTGCTGAGGTTTGCTAAATTAGACTATAATTCATTGCAAATGCTGCATAAACAGGAGCTCTATGAGGTCTCAAGGTAATTTTTTTGTTCAAAAAGTGAAAGGATGACTCTCTTTACACTTATACACAAGCGATAGGGAACAGAATTACTTAAATAAAACTATTTGATTTACACCACAGGTGGTGGAAGGAATTGGACCTTGTGTCTATACTTCCGTATGCTAGAGACAGAGCGGTAGAATGTTTTTTCTGGGCTATGGGAGTATATCATGAACCTCAATATTCGGTTGCTCGAATCATGCTCACAAAAACCATAGCAATGACGTCAATAATAGATGATACATATGATGCTTATGGTACAGTCGAAGAACTAGAAGTTTTTACGGAGGCAATTCAAAGGTACATGGAAACATATTTTTTTCTTTTAAATGTATCCACAGTAGTAATACAAATTAGTTTTTGAATCAATCAATTGTTTATTCAAAATCGTAAACAATGTGATTTTTTGTTATTCAGGTGGGATATTAGCGAAATTGACCGGCTACCGGAGTATATAAAACCGTTTTACAATGCTCTTCTCAATCTTTATGAGCAATTTGATGAAGAATTATCAAAAGAAGGAAGGTCTTATGCAATCTATTATGCAAAAGAAGCAGTATGTACTATATTTTACGATTACTTTTAATATTATGTTTTGCTTCTTACTATGTTTTTGTACTTAGTTTTCTCTAGTTAACTTTTGCAAATGTCAACTAATTTTTATACAGTTGAAAGAACTTGTGAGGACTTACTATGTGGAAGCCAAGTGGTTCATTGAAGGATACTTACCGCCATTTTCTGAGTACATGAGCAATGCCTTGATCACGTGCACTTACGTTTATCATACAACAACATCCTTGCTGGGGATGAAATCTGTCACCAAGGAACAATTTGAATGGCTAAGTAATAAGCCAAAAATGCTTGTTTCTAGCCTCATAATATGTCGACTCATCGATGACATTGCTACCTATGAGGTATGTAATGAATTTAAAGTTGTTTATAAAGAATACTAATTCTTCAAGCAACTCTATGTTTCTTATCTAATTGCGTCTCTAAATCTTGTCTTTTTGAAGGTTGAGAAAGAAAGGGGACAAATTGCTACGGGCATCGAATCATATATGAAGGAGAACGGTGTGACAAAAGAAGAGGCCGTCAATAAATTTTTTGAAATGGCTACAAATGCATGGAAGGATATTAATGAAGAGTGTCTCCGACCAACTTCATCTTCTAGAGAAATTCTAATGCGAATTCTCAACCTTGAACGTATTATTGACGTCACTTATAAAGGCAACGAAGATGGATATACACAACCACAAAAAGTTCTGAAACCCCATATTATTTCTTTGTTTATTGATCCCATCAAGGTCTAAATAGTAATTGGGATCAAGTTGGGGCAACTTGATATGAACAAATCTTAATTGTTTTTTTTTCTTTTATTTGTTTCCTTATATATAATATTATAATATGAAGCTTTGAATAATGTTTTCATTGAGTTAAGTGTATTATGTTACCAATATGTGTATTCTTTGCTCAAGTCAGATCTTATTTAAGTTCTCAAGATCTTACTTTTATTATTGTGTATTAGGAAGAATAATGAACATTAACATTGTCAAATAATCTAGATTTAATTCTATGAAGTACTTGTTTCCTTGTACCGAATACAACTTATTATCTTGCACCAGGGTTGAAAAATCGAGGTCATCAAATTCTGTTGAATACCAATAATCTATGATGTAGTCCAACGTCAAATGCTCGCAAAGTCCAAGAGTGCGGTTTATATTTATAGTTTCGTTGTTGAATAAAATCCCATTCCAAAATCTAAGTAAAAACTATATTTATAGTTTTGGATTAGGAGAAAATGATACAATAGTCAAAAATACGTCGTCGTTCACAATCAAATTTTTTTTCTCTATTTCCAATAACTCATTTTTTATAATCTTCCGATTTTTTTGATAGCGTTGAGAATTACTACGCAATTACTATATCAATATACTATAGATATAATTATAAATTCGAGGAAGTACAACAATATCACAAACAAACATAGAAATATTTCATATGTTCAATGAATGACTGAGAATCACTGATTGTATATTTTTTTAATGTATACTTCCTTGGCAAATATCTAGACAAACGATGTCTAACTCAATTCATTAAAATATATATGCATAAAATAAATTACATCCTGAGTCACAATTTCTAGTCAGGCCACTATAATTGACTATTTGAACTTTTATAATTTCATCATGCAAAAAGTAAAAAAAAAATAAAATAAAAAATCAGATGGTTTAACTGTTCGATTTAGTATTGTTAACTAATATACTTGAAAGCAATTTTTAATACAAACTCATTAGTTCAATTCATTGTCAATTTTTATAAGTACCCTACTTCTCTTTTAAAAGGGAATTCATATTTTTAAAGTTCACATTTCATAAATAACAAACTTCTTAAAATATTTCAAAAATCAGGTGGTAAATAAATTTATTAAATATTAAAATATAATATAATATATATTAATTATTTACACTCTATGACACCTCACTCACTCCACAACACTACCTTCCATCCATCTCTGGCGACTGCTCCGGCGACGGCCTGACGATTGCTCCGACGATTTCAAAATTTCCAAAAAATTAAAAATTGGAAATCACAGCCCCAACCCATGGATCCAACGACCACCACCGCCTAAAAAAATTACCAGGAAAAAAA